TCAAAAAGTGAAAAAAACATTGAAAATTCTGAGCGAAAAAAACTTAGAGATGTTTTTCTTCGAATTTTTTAATGAATAATTTCATGGAAACATCGAAAATGACTTTTTTCTGCAACGGGGAAAAACATTTAAGAGATTAAGCTTAAAATATTAGACTAAAAACCATTTTATTTAGATTAAACCATAGATTAATTAGTGAATTTGTTATTTTTTTCAAAAAAACGAACGAAAAGACTTTCTTGACAATTTAATATTAGAATCTACAAAGCCTAAGCTAATTTATAATGTTTTAAAGTCAAAACTTGAACAAGCTTCTGGGTTTTCTGAGTCTTTGAAGGTTTTTTGCAAAAAAAGTTTTGCCTGAACGTCGTCCCCAATTGCGAGAAACATGGTGAGCAGTGAGCACACAAATTGGACTTTCTGGAAAGGGAAAAAGAGATTGAAATGGCTTCGAGGTGTGAAGTTTCAAGCGCAGAGACTAACGATAAGTGAGATTAATTTGTTAGCCTCACAAAAAAACCAATTCGAAAAGGTTTTTGATCCATTTTATGGTTCAGTTTGCTTCACTGACAAAAATTCTAACTGTGGATTGATAAAAAGTTTCAATGTTTCAAAAAATCGAATAATCTAAGAGAAATTTGATTTCTGAATGACTAATGTTGCGAAATTGAACAACAGCAACAAGAACAGCAACAGCAACAGCAACAACAACAACAACAGCAGCAACAACAACAATAACAACAGCAACAACAGCAACAACAACAACAACAACAACAGCAACAACAACAACAACAACAACAGCAGCAGCAGCAACAACAACAACAGCAGCAGCAGCAACAGCAACAACAACAACAGCAACAGCTTTTAATTTTTGAGTCAATCTAAAATCTTGTGGCATACTGCTTTAACTATTGATAGATACTTGGATAATTGAACCGAAGGAAAAATTTCCTTTCAGTCAAATCAAATTTCGGGTCTTTATTGGGGAAAAAGCTATATTCTGACAAATTTTTAGACTTTTGGTGGAGCTGTTAGCAAAAAATAGACCACTAGAGTACATTTCGCAAATGTAATAAAAAGCTTGTTTCAAATTTGAACAGATTAAGTTCAATGAAGAAAGATAATGATCGCCTGGCCTTCAGCAAAAACTATTCAGCAAAATTTAGAAATGTATCTTTATTTAAGAAATTTAGTAAATTGCGAATCTTTGCCGTTTGTGCTTAGAAAAAGCTTGAGCCTAAGCCTAAGCCTGAGCCTAAGCCTAAGCCTGAGCCTGAGCCTAAGCCTAAGCTAAAGAATCTCAGCTAAAATTTCACATTGGCACAAATTCATTTCTCAATTTTGAGCAATCCTAGATTCATCTTCAATAAATTAACTAACTTTCTGCCAACTCGGAACAAAAGAATTTCAAAAGAATTTCAAAAAGACGCCTTTTCAAAGTAGAAACTGACCCCAAAACCCTAAGAAATGTTGCCCGTTAGATCGTAAAGAATCTTAATCGTAAAGAATCCTAATCGTAAAGAAGTCTTTCCAACTCTTGAAACCCATAAAGTGTGGATCTGAGGCAGGGAAAGAGATGGAGAGACATCACAAGTGAGTTCTCTCACAAGTTCTCTCACATTCTCTCACAAAAGTCTCTTTCACAAAAGTTCGAAACAAAACGCGGAAGCACATAAAGGCACATAAATGAGAGGAGAGACTCGATGTGTTTTGAGAAAAGAAATGAAGGGATCTCTTTGAAAAATATGAGGAAAAGAGCCATTGATGAGGCCAATTATTGTTGGAATGAGCAAGAATTGGGAAGAAATTGGGATTTGGCTTTTTTTTGACATGATAAGAAAGCTGGGATCAGTCAGAATTTGAAGTTTTAAGTCAGAATTTGAAGTTTTAAGTTAGAATTTGACGTTTAAGTCAGAATTTGAAGTTTTAAGTTAGAATTTGAAGTGTTTTAAGTTAGAATTTGAAGTTTTAAATTAGAATTTGAAGTGTTTTAAGTCAGAATTTGAAGTTTTAAATTAGAATTTGAAGTTTTAAGTCAGAATTTGAAGTTTTAAATTAGAATTTGAAGTTTAAGTAGTAAAAATAGAAGAAAAAAGAAGCAAAAACCAGCTAATATTGTTCTGATTTGTGTGAAATATTCGAGTTGACAGGGTTGAGCGCTGTTGACAGGATTATCGTTGACATAAATCTGCAGCGCCTTTTGACTAACTTTTTCGAGTTGAGCGACTTTGAGCTGAAACTGTGCTCTGAAAATAGAAACACACCCAAGCTAGTGCACTAAACAAAGACTCGAGTGCACCAGAGAGGCTGCGTTTACACCAGAGAGGGTGCAGGTTGCGTTGAGCACAAAGTGCGTCAAAAGAATGTTTGGTTTGGCTTCTGGCTTGGCTAGCTTGCAGAAAGTGGCGTCAGTTTGCAGCATTTCTTTTTGAAACTATCTGGTTTGTTCATTTACAGGATGACAGGGGTTGTCAACTGACATATCAACTGTCAACTGACATAGAGATCAACTGAGCCGGTTAAATGCTATGCAACCTATACCATTCGACGCAGATTTTTATGCTGATTCCGAATATATATTTCGTTTGTGCTAAATGACAATCTACCAGGAGTTATAAGCGTCTAAACTCGTTCGTTTCGTTAGAACTCTGAAAATGTGGTCATTTGGGTCTTAGCGGTCTTAGCGGTCTTAGCATTTGGGTCTTAGCTCCTTGCGGACCCAACTCGGTGCAACCGTAGCGGAATGGTACAGCGTTCGTTTCCAGAGCCACACCTTACAAGTTCGATCCCCACTTTGGATTTATCTTTTGCTTTTTTCAAGAAGTATGTTGTTCAAGAAGAAAGCAAGAAACAAGAAACAAGAAAACAAGGAACAAGAAAACAAGAAGAAAACAAAGTGGCGTCAGTTTGCAGCATCACAAAATATGTTGTGCTAGTCAAAGAAAACTAGTCAACACTTCTTGGAAAAAAAGCCGATGAAAAATTGGGATCGAGCTTATGAAGTCTCGATCTGGAGACGAAAGTTGTATCATTCGACCACCACATTCAACCACTGCACTCCACTTGATCCGCAAGAAGGCCGCTAAGATCGAAATGATCATATTTTCAGAGTCATTTTGCCCTCGAAATTTCTTCAATTTCTTCAATCAATTCAAACACGTTTTAGCCTATTTTGTAGAGGAGATTTACAACTTTCAAATAGTTTCAAATAGTTTATAACATTCATCGATATCAGGGTTCTATCGTTGGAAATTTATTGGAAAATGTTGAAATCCGCATTTCTTATGCATTTACCTGCAGTTTTTAGGAAAAAAAAACCCGCATTTTACTGAAAATTCGTAAAATTGGAATACAAGAAAATAGGCTGGAAAGATTGATCTGAAAATTTGGCTATACGCCTAACGCTTTATGCTCAAACTTTTTTTGATTGACAATAAAATAGGTTTCTGTAAACGAAATCCAATTTGTCCAATTTGCCATTTTTGACCACTTTGCTTCTTGCCTCTTGCAAATCCCAAAAACGAAAGATTTTGGAAAAACTGGAAAAAGCAATATCAAGATATTTTATCAAGAATTAATAGAGCTTTTTAGATAGAAGCAAAGAGAAAACACTTGGAAAAACACCGTGAAATGGGTTATTTTTATCTATGCATGTACCTAATACAATAAACTATTCAAAGATTCTCATCTCACAATTTATTATAACAAGCAAAAAGTCTTTAGAATCCCCAAAACCTGAGAACAGTTAGACTTAGATAAAAGATTTGGCTTTAGGTCATCCTTTTCTTTTCAAGTCATCCGATTTTTATTAAGTCAACCTGTCATTGAACAGAGCCAAACTACCAAGTAGAGAAAGAAGAGCCAAGTGCACCAGAAAGGGTGTGTTTACAATTTTCGAGCACAGAGTACAAAGCTGCTAGGATTGCTAGGATTCAAAAGAAACAGGATTTCGAAGGAAATCGATATAACAATTGAAGCTCAGGCATCACGCCAATGCAACAAATGCAAATGAAAAATCGAAACCCAACACACGTCAATCCAAAAGCCAAAAAGAACCATTCACCTTTCACAATTTTTTTTCTCAAATAACCAAATTTTGGCGGCAATTTTTGAAGAAAAAAAAAAGGGGGAAGCGAGGATTTTCGGAGTTCTCTTTAAAAAAGAAAAAGAGAGGAAATAAAAAAATATTCAGTCGACTCAGTTGGATATGATTTGATTCCTCTCTTTCTCCTTTTTCTCGTCTTGTCTTCTTGTCGTCTTTACCCTAAGGAAATATTCAATTTCTTCCTTGTTCTGTGAAAAAGTTTTGCAAAGTACGCAAAAATACGGGAGTGGGACAAATGCGACCTTTTTTTTGCGCACCCGGACATTTGCGCACCTTTTTTTCCGCACCTTGCCCATTAGCGCACCTTTTTTCGCGTTTTAAGCTCTAAAAGCTCTAAAAAAGCTCTGAAAAGCTAATATTAACCAATTTCTATTCCAAAAGTTGTTTTTCTAGGTAATTTTAGGGCGTAGAATCGAAATTTTGGCATATCAGAGCTTGTGGAAGCGAACGGACGGAGTTGTACAAAGAGAAAAATCGACAATTTTCTCTAATTTGATCTAGCCGTTTTGTCTTTCAAATTGGTTCCATTATAACTCCGTCCGTTGGTTTCCACACGCTCTGATATGTCAAAATTTCGATTCTACGCCCTAAAATTACCTAGAAAAACAACATTTGGAATAGAAATTAGTTAATATTAGCTTTTTAGAGCTTTTTTAAAACGCGAAAAAAGGTGCGCTAATAGGCCAGGTGCGGAAAAAAAGGTGCGCAAATGTCCGGGTGCGCAAAAAAAAGGTCGCATTTGTCCCACTCCCAAAAATACGCAATTTTAGATGAATCGTTTTCTAAAACAATGAGAGATTTCGGAAAAGCTTCTTTGTTCTGAGATTTTTTTTAGAAACAAAAACTTTCCCTAAGGGATGACTAATGGAAATAGTTAAAATAGCGTTTTGTAGAAATGATGTTTCAGAGTTATTTGGGTCAAAAATTGTATCCATATCTTCCATTGTATTCCATGCATTTAATACGCTAACTTTAACCGATAAGCAAGTTCATTTCTTTCATTTTCTCTTTTATTTTTCGCAATTTAAATAAAACGCCTAAATTTGCACTTAATTTTTATAGACAACACGCTAATCGATGGCGAGAATCATTTTCGTCTTCTCATCATCATTTCGGCAAGTTGTTTTTCTTACTTTTTCGTTTCTTGGTTATTTGAAAGCGATTTCAAACATTTCTTGTCAAATTTTATGATTTTTAACTAAAATTTAACAAATCACCACTTTTCTACATTGTTTTGTCGTAAGAACTAGTTTTTTTCCCTTTTCTTCTTTGAATCAAAGGAATGATCACCATTTTTTAAGCTTTTCCTGTTAAAATTGTAGCTTTTAAGTAGTAAGAATAGCTAAAAATGACACACTTTGTTTTAAAATGCCTCATTTTTTTGCATTTTAGATGAATCGCACCTATGAGCATGAGCTTTTTGACAAAGGCGCTGTTTTCAGGACGGATAACGGGGCTGAGTAAGTCGATTTTCTCGATTTTCAAAGTTCTTTGAAATGTTTTAATCACAAAAGTAACATTTTATGACAAAATTTAAACCTTTTGAGCTAATAGCTGCAAAATTTGGTACTCGAAGCTAACTTGAAATAGAACTATTGAGGTGTCGCTTGTTCTCCGTTTTTGCTTCAAAACCGCATTACTTTAAGTACAAGATTCCAAGTTTTGGTTTAGGTACGAGATCGTGCGCGTTTTGGCCCATGGGCGCTTTGGTGATGTCTATCAGGTGAAGCCAAAGTAAGTGTTTTTCATTTTATATGTTAAGCTAGTAACTAACCATTAGAATGTCTAGGATAACCTTTGTACCTGCATAAAATCTATTAGGTTATACAGAAAGACTTTTTGTTTCTTTTCGTACTTCCGTTGAAAAATAACAAATTTACCAATTCACCTATGGTTTTCACTAAATAAAAAGTGTTTCTTTTTCAATTTCGCATCTTTTTAAGTCAATTTGGGTTCACTTTCAAGAAAATTCGATAGTGAAAACGTGTTTTTCGTAAAAATCTTTAAGAACCTCTAGGAAGAAATTGGCCTAATCCATTTCTCTAAAAATTTGGCTATATACCTAACCTTTTGTGCTCTATCTTTTATCTATTGACATCATGATAGGTTTCCTTAACTAAAGTGTCCAAATCGCATTATCGAGCTGCCCTTTTTGACTAGCCGACTTCACGCTCCCAAAAAATCCAGACATAAGACCTTCGAAACCCGTTTTAATATTATTTTGCAGAAAAATAATTTGCCTTTCTAATGAAACAAACCGTAGTTGAATTGGTGCATTTGTTGGTTTTAAACGAAAGTACCAAAAGAAACGAAAAGACTTCCTGAATAGCCTAATATTTAGATTATTAGTGAACTCAAGACCTAATCAAGCTTGCTTTAGTCACACTGGCACCACTGCAATTCGCACAGAAGACCCGCGAACTCCCGCCGATTCGGCTCAACTGGCGGTGCGATTTTAAGATTTTTTGGCCTTTTATTTGGTTTTTATATGTACTTTTTAGACTCTCGAAACCCTCTTTAAAGCGGTGAAAGAAGTAGAAGAACATTGGAGAGAGCATTTACCGATGTGAGTTTTGTTTGCCAGTATTTCGAGGATACCGATTTGTGTGGTACTTATCAGCTTCTTTTCAGTCTCCTTGGCAAAGGCGTCGATCCACAACCGTTTCTCCTCGTCGAGGCTTTCGATTCGCATCTGGATGTGGTGATCTCGGAAATGATGAACGAAAAAGCCACCATTGATCAACTTAGAAAGTGAGGGATTTTTGAAAGTTTGGATGTTTCAAAAGGATGGCAGAATAGCAAAGCTATCCACCAGCAAGCTCACTTTTGATGTTTCTCTTTAGAACGACTTGCTACGTGGCCTTGCAAACTCTTCGCGCCATTCAAGAGCTTCATCGACTCAACTATGTGCACAGGTATACTTTTAAAGCTTTGGCTCTAAATACTCGAGTGTTGTTTGATCATCGTAATTTTCATTTTGCAGAGACGTTCGCTTGTCAGCCTTCCGTGTGCGTCGAGATGCTGCCTGGAAAATCGTGCTCACCTCGTTCTCCTATGTGAAGCTGAAAGCGCGTGGAGTGAACGGAAAGATCCAGCTGTGGTGAGGGTTTTGCAAGTGCTACAGTTGTTTAAATAAAGTAAGAATAAGTCTAATGATGGTTTTTCTTGGTTTAAATCTTGAACACTATTTTTTAGTAAGATCGCCCCTCGTCTCCGCACTTCGGCCCGATCAACGAAACTCTGGAGTATCGGCATGGAAGAGGCCAGAGATGTGTACACGCGAAACGATGATCTTGAATCGTGGTTGGTGCTATTGACTTTAAAGCATTATTAGAAAGCTTAGGTTTTGTAGATTCTAATAGTTTTTGAGTTTTTCAAAATCTATCACAAAAAAGTGTTTAAATTGTGGATTAAAGTTTGGCAAAATTGTTATCCCCGTTACTAAAGAAGCACCAAAATTTGTATTGGCTACTTACATTATGTAAATTATAACCTGTAGATTAGATCAAAGAGATTCTGAGTTAAAAGTACAACTTGATAAAGCTAATAAAGCTATTATAAGTTTTTTTAGGGCTTACATGACGGGCGATATGTGGGGTGTGTCGGTGTCCGGTCTTCCTTGGGAACGATTGAGCAAGAAAGAGGCGGTCCTTCAGATGAAAAAGGATCTCATCTCGCTCGATGACAGCGGTGATTATGTTGGTGAGTGGATTGCTTTAGAATTACATTATATTCATTGTCTAGAGAATCAAACGGTGAAAGATTTTAACGACGTAATGCCCCCGCATCTCCTGCACATCATTCGATATCTTTCGGTGAGTGCATTTTTTGGAAATTTCATGTATCTTTTTCAGATCATTGAAGGATCCCTTGATTACGAGTACCTGGTGCGTATTTGGATGGATCGAGTGCCTGAGGTTTGTTCTAGTTAAAACTTAAAGTGTTAGTCGTGTTTTTGGGGTTGTACTCGAGGTTTTGCGGCTTGAATACCTTAAAATATGACTAGCTTTAAAAGAATATTCAATTGAATAATACAAAAGGGGCTATTTTAAAGCATTCTTGGTTTAGTCGGCTTCACTGGGCGAGTTCCCCGGAGAAACCCGATTGGGTGCATGTGCAACTGCGTCCCGAGCCAATCATCCGGCCTAGTGCGGTTTGTTTTTATATTGCTTAATTGGCTACTGTTAAATTCTTTACAATTATTGACGTTTTAGGGTGAGAAAGGTCCAGTGCTGCGGGTGGCCATGAAGGTTGATTCGTTCGAGAAGGTTCAAACGGAACACCCGACCACTGTAATGGGAGATCTGACGGTTAGTTTGCCTTGTGTTTTTAAAAATTGTACTTCATAAAAGTGTTTACTTCATGTGCTTCTAAAGTTCTAAAGTTCATTCATTTCTTTTTATCAGAAAAAAGAACGCCGCCGCCGCCAACGTCGCACAGAAGTCACCGAGGGAGATTCGATTCGGTATGTGTTTGGTGTTTTTTTTCAAATTTAACAAGTACACTTATAGTAAACTGCATACTTTTAATACTTTTTTTAATTTTAAGCCTTTAAAAGTTCAGTTTTGATTTGAACTCATAAACCTTTTCGAATTTTAGCAAGATTCGTCTCCGATTGATGAAGACGCAAGAAGATATCTCGGCTCAGGTCAGTGCTTACTTTCAATCTTTTGTAATCATTCAAAGTTTGTACTGTTTTTAAAGAAATTTTAAGTTAATCCTCATGTTTACTCTGGAATTTTTGTTTTTTTAGGAGGAACCACCCCATTTACCGGCTCGAGCACGCTTCATGAGTCGCGAGGTGACCGTTGGAGATCAGGTAAGGGTTTAGATTTTGAGGTTAAAGTTGCTTGAAGTGATTCGATCTGTAAATGATCATTGATTTTATTATCAAATTCCTGCACACGTTAGCCATTGTTTAGGCTCTGAGTGCTCAGTTTGAGGACAATTTTTCCATTTTAGATCCGCGACAGGAAACGAGAGACAAGTCGAGAGACGGATCGTACAAAAAAGCAAGGTTTGAAAAATTCAGCGCTGATTTCAAACTTGCAAAAGGAGTAGCTATACTATTTTGAGATTTTAGAAACTTGAACTGAAACTGAAATTTAACTCTAACTCTTTCTCGTTTAGGTGCGACGACTCGGCTGAGTGTGAAACTCGACAGAACGATGGCCACCCAAGACTGAGCGCAGTGATTCACTGTAACGAAGTTACGGATTAATTTGGTTTCTTTCTGGTTCTTTGGTTGATCATTTGGATGGGATAAAGATTCGAGCTTAACTATTAGGAACTATTAAACTATTAAAGCTTAACTATTAAAATTTTGTCAGAAACAACCTTTCGGAAGACGCCTAAAAATTTTCTTGACCTTTTCCACGAAAAAATCAAGCATCTGGTTTCTCTTTTGCCAATCTGGAACCAATCTCTTACAACTCTGACCAAGTAATGCGTAATCATTGGGCAAAAGGAATTGCTTAAGTAGTCCAAAGTTTTAAATCAAGTTTAAGTTTGTTCATTTTAAAATTTGACTTCTCTCAATTCTAGCTGGTAAATTGAGATCAACTTTTTACCTGGAATTGTGGAGTGAATATCTTTTTTTATCCGAAAGTGCAAAAGTTCAATTTCATTCGGCAGTGATAAGCAAATAGAGAAGCTTTGAGCTAACCGCAAAAAGTTTCATTTTAGTTGACTATGCGGCTGGATTTTGAAAATTAATTAGTCTAGCTTTTTACAATAAATGGATGGATCTTGAGCTGATCTAAATAAAATTTTGATTTTCTTCTGATTTCGATGACTGGTTTTAATGCTGTAAAAAGAATGTTTCAACTTGTTCAAAGCAGTGGTTTAATAGGCTTTTAATAGGCTTTTAATAGGCTTAAAATAAGGCTTTGGTTTTCAGATAATTGTCTAACTTGTAATGATGAATAATACTTTTTGAAGTGAACAATACTTTTTTTCGTGTTCTAATTTGGTCAATGTTATCAGGAAAATGAGAAAATGAGCAAATTGGGGATTATCGCAAAGAATGGGCATTCTTTAGACCCTTAACAAAGGCTATTCTGTCTGTTTTATCATTTTAATCGCTCAACTGATTGATTTCACTAAATGGATGAATCTCTTGAGCTGATCTTGCGCTGACAAAGCTGAGAAAAAGCTCTCTGCTCTTCTGCATTGAGAATTTATTTAATCAATTTATCAATTTGCTTGTTTTTGCATTGATAATTGCTTTCAAATTTTCTTTTCCTCAGAAAATTCCTCAGAAAACTAAACAATAAATTCCTAGGTGGTAGTCAACAATAAATTCCTCGTTTCTCATTTGTTTTGACTGTAAACAAAGAAAAAAGTCTTTTGTTTTGACTGTAAACTAAAAAAAAACCAGTTTTTTAAAGCAAAATTTCAATTTTTCTTTTCAAAGTTTCTATTTTTCAGGAATTTGAAGTTGCTCAAGAAATTAGCTGCACAAACAGCTGCACAAGACTTACCGTATTTCCTCTAATAAACGCCCCCCCTGACCAACTTTAGACGTCTCGTTCTCAACCCCATTTTGAGTTATTTTTATGTTTAATATATCAAAAGATAGCCCTTAATGTCTTCTATCTTTTGATATATTAAACATAAAAATATCTCCAAATGGAGCTGAGAACGAAGCGTCCAAACTTGGTCAAGGGGGGGCGGCGTTTATTAGAGGAAATACGGTAATAACTTTAATCGAAACAAGCTTACAGGTACGGGAAGCGATAGGTACGATAAGCGATAGCTGCAATAAGCGACTCTCAAAATGATCCTTCGACCTCTCACCGCATTTTTCTATTTTTCGTCAGTGTTTGGCTTGGAGAGGTAGAGAAATCTGCAAAAAAAAACCAGATGGTGTTATCTCAATAAGGCCTCGGCTTCGGAAAATTTGCATCTATAGGCAAACGGACACGCTGAATCCAAGAAAAATCGTTTCAGCACCTGATTTTCATAGGCTTTCCCTACTTTTGTACCAAATTTTATTTAATAACAAAGACAACAAATGAAAATAAGCTAACATATCAATAAAGTGGATAACGCTTAGCATATTAATAAAGTAATGAGGAAAGTAATACGCTTAGTAACCTTTTCCCAAAAGACATCAAACTCTAATCATTACTCTGCCACTTCCAAAGAATTTCGTAAAAGTTGTCATTCCAAAGCTCCCCCTTCAACCAGTGCTCAACCAATGCCCTGTTTTGACTTTTAAATTGGCTCCAAAGATACCCGATGTCTTGAGGGTGGACGCTAGTAACTGAATTAATGAAATTTTGTGAATGATTCACTGTCCTATGCACATAGCCCAAATTAGAAAGGTTATTGGAAGCAGCTCAACGATCGGTATGCACAGTTGTTCCCGGTAAAACATCTTTTAATGATGACCGAAGAGCTGAAATTATTTTTATGGGATTCAGCGTGCCCGATTACCTATAGATGCCTATAAATGTAAATTTATAGGCAGCTATAGGTAAATTTTCTGAGGCCACGCCAGCCCTAATTGCAATGGCACCAACCAAATTTCATTGGAAAATCATTTAGCATTCGAGTGATGTCGTTCAACATTTGGAATTGCGGCGTGAACGTTGAGAATGGGGTGCTGAAAATCGCGAAACACATAGCGCTTGTCAATCCGGATATCGTCGCTTTACAGGTTGGAGTTAGCGTTGGATCTAAAGAATTTCGTTGGGATTGGTTTCGACCCGATGTCTAGGATTGAATGATAATCGTGGTGACGTAGGCAGACCAACCTCAAGCACTTTTTAACACAACAAAGCTCATAGCTCAAGCTGATTCAGAAAAACTATGAACGAATCAAGAAGGCTTTCAGAAAGCCTTTTGAGAATTATAAACAATACGTTCGAAAACATACGTTCAAAATAAGCAAAATTCCAAAGGTACCAAATACTAAGAAATGGCAAAGTAAGACGTGGCAAAGTAAGGAGATATATGCAAGAATATAAAGAAACATCTTTATGTTCTTACATAAAGAAACTTCTTCATGTTCTTACATAAAGAAGCCTCTTTATGCTCTTGTCACAAAAGAAATCCACAAAGCGGTAAGGTGGGAAAGGAACCTTCCGAAAAGCGCAACTGATTCCTCTTCTCGGGGTAGGCTCATGGTCATTTGCGGGTCCTTTTGCGCAACTCGCTATAACTCTCTTCTAAGTTGATCAATCTTTATGATTTTGGTTTCATTTTTTAGATCTCAATAAGTGCAACAAAATGACACCAACATCATAAAGATTGACCGATTTAGAAGAAAGTAATGATGAGTTGCGCAATGATCCAGTTTAAAATGATTTGATCGCAAATGATCCGTAAATAAAATGGCGGAAATTAGCCTAACCCCGAAACGAGAGCCTTTGCAAAAGCTTATGTTACAAGTTAGGTTCTCAATAAGCTTCTTTGTATGTCTTCTTCATCTTCTGCTTGTGCAACTCCAAAATCGTGTTTCTTTTCTTCTCCCGACCCGTCATCATCTAAAAAAAAAGAGTTAAACAATTGTTTTCTGATTAAAACTAAAGTAAACATTATAGAAGAATAAAACCAAGGAAAAAAAGAATAAATATACGACAAAAATACAGCGTTTCAACTGCCATAACAATACCGTCAAAACTTTTCACACTCTCTGTAAAATAGCCGACTTTTCAATCATAAAGATGGCCAATCTTTGAGCCAATCCTATGATTGAGCCGACTTAGAAGAAAGTTATGGCGAGTTGCGCAAAAGGACTCAGTTGTGCAAATGATCTAGTTGCGCAAAAAAAGTTCCGAAAGAAACTAGCCTACCCCTCTTCTCTAGAAAAACTTTTGCGCCCAGGGAGCACCATTTAGAAAACAGACAAAACAAGTGCGAAAATAGAATTGACATGCCACAATTACCTTTGAATTGAAATTTTGAAACTAAATTTGCGCAGCGGTAAAGTTACTTGACCAGATCTGTGCAAAATAAAACGACAGACAAGCTATAGATTCTAGTCTCAGCTCTATTGGCGCTTGTGTTTCCATTTTAAAACACTTTTTCTTAGGGTAATCAAGGGTTACGAAAGGGTCTGCTTACGAAAATAACATTTGACCTTAATGGCTAAATCTATTAAGGCTAAATCCTAACTTCAATCCGAGTCGATGACACAGCTAGTGGCCCCTTTCTCTAGTCCGAGCTAGTGGCCCCTTTCTGGGTGAGAAAATTGCCAACCAAAACGTCTAGCGGCTTCACCTTGCCATTTCGTACACAGTTGTCTGAAAAGCACACATAGCCAGTGGGGTGTACGGGGCATCGCGATGCATCGTGCAAGCCTGCCACCTATAGTTTTAAGCGAACTTCTGTTTTCACACAGGAGGAGTCACACTCGGCGTCGGAGCCTAAGCCATAGACAAAATTAAAATTCTCCTTTCAGGAGGTCGAGTTCGAGGGATGCGCGAAGAACATCACCCAATATTTGCCGGCTCATTGGACGATTGTCACGCCGGAACGCGAGTATCCCGATGCGAACATCATCACAAAGCATAAGGTAGGGAAATTGGCAGGGAATTTACATTTATTCACACAAATAATATGGTACAAACAATGTACAAGCACAAAAGCTAAGCCCTAAATGTAAGGAAAGGCCTAATAAATATCTAATGCCTAATAAAAACTCTAATAGAAGCCTCTAAACTCTTCTAGAGTTAGAGATTAGAGTTTTTAGAACTCTAGAAGAGTTTAGGGGCTTCTAGATTAGAGTTTTTATCAGGTTGTCCGGAAATAAATGAGCGTTTTCAACTCGAATATTTAAAATCCCATAACTTGGTCCAAACAAAACTTGATTAATCGAAATAAGAACCATTACAATTAACGCATTTTTGTCAACGAGAAACGAGTTTATTTATGCCGCTCGCATAGAAGTCCGCGGTTCTGGAGGCGATAAAGTCGGCGAAGGCGTTTTTAGCATCGTCTTGAGCATTATTTTCAACAAAATTTAAAAGTATGGTTAATGAGAGCACGAAGTCAGCTTTCGAATAAATAAATCTACTTTTATTAGGCTGTGTCACATGAAACCAAATTGAAGGCTTTTGTGGTCAAGGCTTTGATATCAGTTGAAAACTCTAATCTAGTACAAAACTTTTTTACATCGATTTCTCTGTCTAATTCTGTTTCATTTAAAGGTCATCGATTTCGTTGCCCCCAGCGA